GGCTGGGAGAGTGGGTGAGGGTTGGGGGGGGTCAGGGGGGCTGGGGCCTGGTGGGGGGCCCCCCCATGTTTCCCTCTGCCCCCTACTTACCGGCACGGAGTCCGCATCCAGCTCCCTGCGGCAGTGAGCGGGGACTGCCCGAATCTCCGGATCGATTCAGAGGCTTTGAATCAATTCAGACCTTTTTATTGGTCTCCCGATTCAATTTGGATTCAGAGATTCAGCCGCCAAATCGGGCCAAATCTCCTCCGAATCGAATCGGCAACTGAAGCTTCACGCAGCCCTAGTGGCAAGTTCACAGAAATAGCTACTTTATGCCTACCTTTGCCTTGTGCCTCTTCTCATCTACAAGTGGGTAGTGGTACAGGAGGCTACTACCACTATCCTTTCCTGTCATTTTGTAATAGAAAGGAAATCCTTTAGGTTTAGGATGGCAGTGTTCTGCTTTCTCTCAGTGGCAAAATACAACGTCTGGAGGTAGCAATCCTAGGATTATTTCTGTAAATGTAAGAAGTTTTAGTCAAGCCTTCAGTGGGCTTTAAGTCAGGCCTTAAAGAGTCATTTAAAAAAAAAGTTTGAGTATATTAGATGAAAATCACTGTTTAGGTGGTTTCTGGACATATTCATTGTCTGGACATATTTTGTTTGCTTTCGCTTAAGTTGACCTTAGTGCTACTATTGGGTTTGCACCACTCAAGTCATTCTGTCAGTCTCTGAACCCACGTCAGTTATAGAAAAAATAAAAACAAAACCTTATTACAGGCAACCCCCACTTAGCGCTCTCAATCGGTTCCAGAAAAACGAGCGATAAGCGGCACTATGCTAAGCAAAATCCATTTCCCCATAGGAATGAATGTCAAGCCGGGGTCGTTTGACCCCAGCATTCTTTCCTGCCATGGCAGGGGGTCAGACTTGATGATCTGCTCCGGTCCCTTCTGACCCAACCAACTATGAACTAAAGAGAGATAATTGGTTACCACCACTTCTCACCACTACCACCTCTCCAGCCCCACGTGCCAGCCTAGACCCGTGCTCCTGTTGCCCTGCCCTGGGCCCCCACCAGCCCTGGCCCCGGGCGCCAGTCCCATGCTTGCGCTTGCTCCCCCACTCGCTGCTTCTCGCTGCCGCTGCCTCTCCTTACCTGCCCACCAGCTGCTCTAGCCCCATGTGCCAGCCTGAGCGCTCCTGCCGCCCCACCCTGAGTGCGAGCCCTGCCGGCCCAGACGCCAGGCACGGTCACAGACCCTGCACTCCTCGCCACCACCGCTGCTTCTCCCTACCTGCCATGCTCACACCTGCCCCACCACCTGCTGCCGCTACCACCGCTGCTTTTTCCCACCCACCTGCCCACCAAAACTTGCTGATTCCACTTCACGCTATAGCGGAACTGGCTGAGCGCTCAGTGAAATCGGGCATCAATGTTAAATGAACGCTATAGCAAAATAGCGCTAACCAAAACCATATGAAGCGGGGGTTGCCTGTATGGCTGGTCTCTCAAAGGGAGGTAGAGGTTACGTGTCCAGACAATGTAAAGTAATCGGATACATCAGTTTCTTGGCGAAATGCTACTACTACATGTCTGCCACAAAAGGTGAGGTAGCATAAACAAGGCTTGTAAGAAGGGACAGTACAGCCTTTTTAAGAGCCTACTGAAGTTTATTCTTTCTACTGTCACCTTCCCACTGTAGTATTGCTAAAGGAGGAG